ACTCCGTAGCCTCCGAGAACTTGAATTGAAAAGCACCACCCAGGATTAAGGAAATGAAGTCACAGTACGAGAAAGGGGGTGTATGTCAAACATATGGGTCGTACCGACCTCGCGGCACGAAATTGCCAGGCAAACGTACTGAGGCATTGTGTTGCAGGCGAGGATGCACCAAGCGCCCGGGCTTTCGCCTACGAAGACGCCATAAGCCAATCCGCTCCTTCAAATTCACGCTCTTTTGTCTCCAATTCTTTTCCCTCTCTGCTGCGCTCAGTACTTCTAATCTTCTCGTATAATTCTTATGTCTCTCCACAGCCTAGAGAAAGAAGCCCGCTTCATGAGCACATTTTCAGTGATATGCAGAGTGTACTGCTCTGACCAAGCCTGCTGTCAACAGACACAGAACGCTTGTAATGGCAAGAATTTCTTCGATGGCGAGAGCTTCATCCAGCTATGTGAAAATGGACGGGAGATGGATTACCAAGGTGAGGAATGAAGTACTCCATTAGGAGGCAGTGCTTGTTAATTATTAGTTCACAAACGACAACTAAATGCGTGGAAGGAAAATGAACTGACAGTCTACTACAGTGTTTTTGAAATGTTCCTCATACGTTCTCAACCGTCCGCATAATTTTGTTAATTTTATATTTACGAACCGGAGGGAGGAGGGTATTCGGGATTGTTGAGAAAAGGGGCCTATTTGGGGTTGACACGAAGTCAACTAACCAGGAAAGGCATTCAACTTCCCATGGAACTTTGAATCAAGACCCAGATATATCGATAGAGCTTCAAACGCTGATTACAAATATGGAAACTAAAACTGCAAAATGAACCTGCCAAGGAAGTTGTGAGCAGTCAAAGTTGGCTGGAAGTAAAGCATTACACTAGCCTCCGGCTTTCAGAGTCGCCGCGGAGCAGTGGTGGTGCCCTCGCTATTCACCCTGGAGGTCATAAGCTTTCTCCCCTTGGAGTGCAAATTTCGAGAGCACTACATTTGTTATAGTCCACGGTGAGTCTGAAAAGAGGCTGGCACGGTTCATATGTAACGCTTACTTCAGCCAACTTTGACTGCTCACAACTTCCTTGGCAGGTTCATTTTGCAGTTTTAGTTTCCATATTTGTAATCAGCGTTTGAAGCTCTATCGATATATCTGGGTCTCAATTCAAAGTTCCATGGGAAGTTGAATGCCTTTCCTGGTAAGTGTTAGGAACGGAGGTCGTTTTGTGAAGGTTCCAGTGGTCGTTTCAGCCTGGTTCTTGATGACTTTGATGAAAACTCAAGAAATTACTATGAAATAGGCAAACCATTGTCGTTTTAATATATTTGCACCTCAACCCCGGTCGGCGGCAGTTTTTGGGAAAAAAAGCGGTCGAAGTTGTTACTTTATAGACAGCCATGTGAGGAGGTGGTGGTCGGGGTGAAGAGGGGGAGGTAAGTTGCATGGACATCCAGGCCGACGATGGTGACGGAGGGTCTTATCAACACACCCTAAAAGGGATAATCAGGTTTTTCTGGAATAGGCCCGTGGCTCGGGATGACTTTGCCCACACATCGGCCTATGCACTGTAAGTTGCTGAGATTTCCTACAATTATAACAAAGGGTGCCTAGAGTTTTGAAAGCAGAGATAGTGGTTACATTGGACAAGCTCTATCGAATTTTAAAAGCACGAAACGCGATCGGAAAGGGTGTATTATTTTGTTCAAAAATTAGGCAGGAAGTGCAATGTGGAAGGTTCAAGAGCAGAAAGAGCAAAAAGGGGTATAAAAAACACTGGCATTCCCCTTCTGAGGTCGGCTTTGTGTGACGGAAAGACTCCGCGTTGCGAGAGGAGGGAGGAGGCGAGAGTGCATCTTTCGCGAGAGCGCGGCAAACGCCGCGTATTACCGCACGGCTGCATCACAAGGCCCAGGCTTTCACGGCCGGTCCTCACAACTTCTGAAGTTCGAATGTGTCGACAGTACTAATTGCGAGCAACACTTAGCGCTGGAAAATGCAAATTTACCTCCCTTCCAAAAAGCGAGAAAGTGTCGGGTGCAGACCAAACACCACAACTGACGACGGCCTCCAAGTAAATCTGGTTAGAAGTTGTTCATAGTGATAGCTGATTTCTGGTAAATGATAGTAATTAGTGACAATGATAGAATACAACTGCAACAGGCTAATCATTTCATTGGCGGAAAACACAAAGGGAGGGTAATTCTTCTCGGATATCTGCATTTCACTCGGGGCAGTTATAACGTTTACCGCTACAAAGCGGTAAACTTCTGAGTTTGATGAGGTTTTCTAGCGAAAACTCGCAGATATTAACTGCAGTTACACTTTCAGTGGCCAGTAGCTGCAGAAGGTATCGTTGGAAATGATACAGTACGACTCGGAGCGATAGGAACGAAACAGCTTGTCAATCCCTACCACCGCGTTCGGTCAAGCGACAAAGTTCACATCTTCATTCACGGGCGTGAGTGCACTAGAGATTTTACTTATATTCGCGGCCCACCTGCATTTATTTATTATATTTGCGTCAATTGCATGAATATAATTTTAAATGTACTACCGTTCACTGGGTAAATTTCTACTTCGATTCCTTTACCGGATACAATCAATCTTTACCGGTGTGGTTTACTAGTTTACTAGTTAACTGAAATAGCAAAGTCGGATGATCCACTGCTCTAGGACCTAGTAAAATTTGGGCTCATGGAGAACCTGAAGAAGTTCATGTGATGAGTGATTGCAAATTAAGTATAGAAGAACTTCAGACAGAAGTCGATGGCGTCATGGGATTGGGACTGCCTATGGGTGCAGCTGGTGGAATCACTTCTCCTGTCAATCGCGCCATGGATCTTCATCTACTGGATAAATCTTTATTCACTGTCTACATGAAGACAGCTAATGGTAAGAAAGTTCTGCAAATTATTACCGCCTCCAAGAAATCCAAGATTCCCCTATTGCCCGTTTAGTTGTTTATTGATTTTTGATTACTTGCTTGCTTATTTATATGCGCGACTCAAGCCTTGGCTTGGAGATGTTACATAAAAAGCAAGCCCCGGGATAAAATGGTGATAAGAGCGCTTCGTAATGATGACTGAGCTGCGGGACGGCCTGAAAGTGGAAAGGAAAGCTAGAGAAATCTTTGGGATCGCTGAAATTAAGGCCTTAACCTTCAAAAAGGTCGGATGTGGAACGATGGCGAGGCAGGGCGGTCAAAGAAGACAAAACACGCGAGAGATCACGCCGTTCGAGAGAGCACGCCGATATCGAGGTGGGTGGGAAGCGTTGCAACGGGGTCGATGGTTGCAGGCCCTTAAAGCAACAGTCCCAGCAGGGTGGGCGTGGTCGGAAACGACTGCAATCCCCTCGGCCGATTCCGACCACGCCCACTTCAGCTCCCTCCCTAGCGGCTTTCCAAGGTGAGTTTTTGTTCAGTCACACTTCTTACGTTCTTGACTAGGGGCTGAACAGCTCCGAAGTGGGAATCGGCCGAGGGGATTGCAGCCGTTTCCGACCACGCCCACCCTGCTGGGACTGTTGCTTTAAGGATTAGCGCTCTAACCGCGCAACTTGCGAAGCTGGAGTGATCTAGGTAGGTAAGGACCTTACAATTTCCCTCGCGGTATCCTTCCCACAAGTTGGGCTAATCCCGGGGTTTGCCTTTAATTCCCTGATTCCTCATCGTGTACCTTCGCACCGTGGAAGGGTACACGCTGAGTTATCAGAATTCGATACATACGGTGGAGCATTCCAAACTAGGTCACACATAGCCAAGTTTTTGCTCTGACGTTTCCTACAAACGCGTCACGTGCAAATCACACTCCGGATAAAGGTAGAATGGGCAGTCAGCTAACCCTTACCCTATATTTCGTTGAGGGTTACCCATTCTCATGCCGAGGGCACCACCTTCTTGCAAACATGGCAAGTAGTCGCTCAATAATTTGGGAAAAGTAGGAAGAATAATCTCCTGTAGTCTTGGGAATCCATCATCACGCCACTGTT